AGAAAGTCCCTCTGGAGGAAGACAGAGATGGGCTAGCAAGAACCTCAAGAGAATGCCAAGCTGTCATATAAAAGGAGGGCATTGTGTAACTAGTCCCAAATCAAGTACACATCCATTTACCTCTGCAAGGATTAAAGAATGAGTTGCTTAGCCTTGCCTACAGAGCTAGTTCAAGGCCAGCCTAGACTATTTATAGGAGACTCTATCTCAAAAGCTTGAAAACAGGGCTGGAGAGATGGCTCAGAGCCTGCTCTTCCAAAGGTCCTGAGTTCAATTCCCAGCAACCACATGGTGGCTCACAACCATCTGTAATGAGGTCTGGTGCCCTCTTCTGGCCTGCAGGCATACACGCAGAAAGAATATTGTATACATAATAAATAAATAAATATTAAAAAAAAAGCTTGAAAACAAACATCAACAACCTACCTGAGACCTCCTGAAGGCACAAGCAGGAGGTAAACCAAACTTGAATACAAGCAGGTCAATACTATTCATAAATATAAAAAAATTAAAACCCTTACAAAAGGGCATACAAAGTAATAGTGAGACACCCTGCTGTACAACAGCAGCTGGCAAGCACCAGTCTAGGGCCCAGGACCATAAAAGGCAAATTGACAGGACCAGGAAGAAAAGCACACACCAAGCAGTGTGTTTATCAGAATGCTAGAGGTAGGCATTTTAAAATTCACAAGCACATAGAAAAAAAAACTAGAAACATTATTTTACCCTGTGTTTTTTTAAGAAAAGGAAAGAAGTTATTAAATTAAACTGAAGTAGCAACAGTATCTTCTCTTGTAAGTCCTTATATTTTCCAAAGCTTTTTTCATAGCATCTTATGTGACTTTTTTTGGTTTTTCAAGACAGGATTTTTCTGTGTAACAATCCTGGAATTCACTCTGTAGAGCAAGCTGGCCTCGAACTCACAGAGCTCCGCCTACCTCTGCCTCCCAAGTGCTGGGATTACAGGTGTGTGCCACCACTGCCTGGATCATTTTACTTTTTAGGGGGGCAGGGCTGGGGCTTGAACCCAAGGCATATACATGCTAGGTGAGCACTATACCAGAGACATATCACCAACCTCATAATTTAAAAAAATAATAACTTACTACATTTACTTTATTTACTCTCTCTCTCTCTTTCTGTGTGTGTATGTGTGTACAACGTCTGGGAGTCAGTTTCTCTTCACCATGCGAGTCCCAGGAGCTGGATTCAGCTCATCAAGTTTTGCCCTGCTGGGCCACCTCACCAGCCATACCTTGTAGCTTTTCATGGAACTATTCAACTGCAATATTGCTGAATGCCTTCATACCAAACCACCCACCACACAATATCCTGAAGTCCACCTACTACCCCCAAAAGATGAGATTTCCTTTAACAGATCATCATTCTCCAGCGCCTCTAGTAACAAGTAACTGGTCTTCCCCAGTGGGAAGAAGTAGGCTGACACAGATCCGTTTTTATAGGCAGTGGTTTTTTACAAGTACTTTTAAGACGTAATATTCAAGTCACTGATGTAATACCATAAAGTAATGCAAGCCATTAGTCTTAAAAGAGGTCCAGGTCTTCCATCTCAGGGCCTGGCTGACTTCCTCAGCTATAGGATACTACACAACTGACATAAGGGTTTTCCCCTGTATGAAACCTCCACAGCAAGGCTGCTGGCTGCTTCTTCCATGACCTATGCCCATCTGTAGTAACAAACCTTGATTATTACTAACATCAAGCTGTTACAAAGTCTTAGTAAAGTGGCTGATTAAAATGTTTTATTAGGAAGCCCCTTCTTCAGCTAGCACATTCTGTCCAATTAATGTAAGAACATGGGTTTAGACAGGGTCTCTGGGAAGTTACTGGGCATGGACTCAGCTGAGGGAGTGTCAGCCCCGACATAAACTATCTCTCTCTGGACCAGTGTGGAGGCACAGGAATAAAGACACAACTCACATGGCTTTATCGGGAGGGAGATTTTTACTGATCCCTCATGAAACCCTGAGTTCACATGTTGAAAATTCCTCTCATTTATTCTCCAAACATCCTTTATACCAAAACGTAAACTGAGGGGGAAATTTATTAGTATGTTGTTTCCTAGGTAACCAGGTGAGTGGTTTTAGTCACGTCCACACCTTTGACCACACCTTTCTATGCCCATTTTGTCACGTCTCCTCTCCCTGTCTTCCTGCTCTGTATGCCAGCTCTCTCACATAGGCCTGAATTAGCATCTGTATCCCAGGCATCCTCCAAATTACAAAGAAGGAGCAAAACAACATCCTGACCCTTTGTTAGGGTAGGACAGCCTGCACCACCTCAGGTGCGCTATGGCTTGAGAGCCTGGCCGCCATACCATGTAGAAATATGGGGCCTGTATAATATTGCCCCACAATTTACTCTCTCTTAATAATTTTAAAATAAAAACCTGTGTTTTTGCAACAGGTCATAAGATTATGCCTGTCTTGGGCAAAGACTTTTATTATACAGGCCCCGTATTTCTGGTTACCTAGAAAACATAATGCTAATAAATTTCCCCCTCAGCTTACATTTTGGTATAAAGGCTGTTTAGAAAATAAACATGGAGAAATTTTCAAAATGTAAACTCAAGATTTCATGAGGGATCACTAAAATTCTCCTTCCCGATAAAGCCATGTGAGTTGTATCTTTATTCCCGTACCTCCACACAGATCCAGAGAAATAGTTTATGTTGGGGTTTGGACCCCAACAAGGGAAACAGGCATTCTGTGCTTCTGCTTTCCCTCCTCCTTCAGGCCTGTACCTGGATCAAACAATAGATACCCTTCATGCCCATCCTGGACCAGAAGGAAACTGAGGCTGGAAGCCAAGTGCTGGGATGATGGCATAAGAAACGGATCTCTGAATACACTGTGCAGCTGCCCTGAAATCCTCAGACTTCATTTCAAAGGTAGATGGAGGGTATCTCTCGGTTGTTGTCACTGTACACTGAGTCCAACTGACACCTAATGCCAATTACATACTAAAGGTTACTCTACCCCATACACATCCCACTGCCGGTAAACACCAAATGGCTAAAACATGTGACCAAGACAATAAAACATTTGAATCAGTCACTTTTTACTAAGACTTCATAACAGCTGATGCCCATCACTACTTTCTCTTTTCCATGTAGACAGCCGTGTTCTTGACTAGTTCAAACTCAACTGACATATACTTTCTGGGACTCTGCCCTCATATGACAGTGACCAAAAATCCAACCTTCCATAACCCCTAATAAAAACAAAAGAGAAGAGTGTCCCCAGTTTACAAAACACGAAGAAATCACAATTGCCAAGATGGAAGCAATGAGCAAAGTGGTGGCAGACGATTTCTGAAATGGCTTCAGTGAGGCTCTTACTGGTAGATGCCATCCCAGGCAAACACTCACCCACAAACTACGACTCACAAGCAAAAATCTACAGTCTATACCAGCATCGGCACCAGCGGGGTGGTAGGTAGCACGTACATCCTGACAAAGTCCTTTGAGACGTCCACTCCTTCCTGGAAAGCTCCCCGCTGCAAAGGCAGATGGAACCAGAGCCCCACCTCCTGGGAAAGAGACCTGCAGTCTTCCGCCTTCTTCTACAGCAGCATAGCTTGGCAAGGCAACAGCTCCTTTACAAGAGCCTTGATCCCACCAACAGTAACCTGGCAGAAGGGAAAATTTTCTACGCGTAGCTTCAGATTATGGTCAAAGTTTAAACTTGATCAAGGAAACTGGAAACTTTTACACTTCCATTATCTTGGCCCAGATTTCTCAATGAGCTAAATTATATAACGCGATTTCACGCTACCTAGCTCTCTCAGAATAGTAAGGACATAAGAGAAAGAGAATTCAGCTTCTACCACACATTTTCTACCAACTCACCTGCCTCTTACTCCACCACCAGCAACCTCTGGGCTGACAGTCAGAAACTCAAAGTCTCAATTCAGTTAATCTATTTAAAGAACAGAGTTTCGGAGAAGGGATGAGAAAACCAGAAAAGCTCAGCAAAGAGAATAGAGGAGGTAAGATTTTATCTCATATAATACAAATCTTTTACACCCACCATTAAAGTTATACCTAATTGTTCATATTCTCACCAAGAGGAAGTCATCTATTATTAAAGAAGCAGAGAGTACAGACAGAAGGGATAAAGGAAACAAAAATCATTTAAAAAAATCACAAAGTATAATCTCTCTCTCCCTCTACACACACACACACACACACACACCAAACAAACAAACAAACAAAAAGCCAACTCTGAAGAACTACTTCTAGGCTCAGAGCACACAGATGCGGAGAGAAATACCCTCCTCCCAGGGACAGGCTACTCAAAATAAATGCAATAGCATTAATCACACGCATCCTCTCTGCAGTCAGTCTGAGCAAGTGAGAGCGCCAGGGAAATTATTCCTAGCTGTTCTGCCAGCCCACGTGCAAGACTCAAGTCTCCACCAACTTATCATTTAATTATACCTAACACTGACTTTACAGCCAGTTTATAGAGTCTGTGTATTTAATACACAGTTACTTCCCAGTTCCCTGCAATTACACACTAGTTATGGAATTAATTAATAGCACCCCTGGGCTAACAGGAGGTCTAAAAAACCACCAGTCAGGTCATGCTCTCCAATTGACACGGCCACCTGCACTGGGTCTCAGCTAAACACACACCTCTTCTTCTGACGGTTCCCTCTCCAGTGAGCTGAGAAGTGGAGGTAGAGATGCAGACATGCTATATAGGTTTGCCTTTTCTGCTGCTCCAGAAAGGGGGTATCCTCCTTCCGGGGATTACACACACATTTCCCACAAACAGGAAAAGAAATCTATTTCTGCATATATCAGTCTCAAATACTGGCAACGCTGCCTGCTAATTATCAGTTCATAAACCCCTCAGGTGCCCCCATTCCTCTTCCCGAACACTGCCACTCGATGGAACCCACATTTACTAAAGCCACAGAGCGAGGGGGTGGCTGCTCTTCACACCCAACCTAGCCCAGTTCCCCATACTCACTGTTGCTGGACTTAAGGTCTCGGTGGATGATGGGGACGATTGCCTCATCGTGCAGGTAGTTCATCCCTCGAGCGATCTGCACAGCCCAGTTCACCAGGATGTCTGGGGGAATCCTCTTCCCAGACAGCACTCTGTTCAAAGGCCCTCCACGAGCAAACTCCATGACCAAGCAGAGGTTGGGTTCCTTCAAGCACACCCCTCTGAGGGCGATGATGTTCGGGTGCTTCAGCATGGCAAAGAGTTTGGCCTCTTGGCGCACATTCTCTATGGTCTGGCTGATGTCCTCATCGGGGTCATGGCGAGCTGCTTTCACGGCGACCTCGTCGCCTACCCAGAAAGCACGGTAAACTTTCCCAAAGCCCCCAATGCCGATGATCTCCTCCAGGGTTAGCTCCGCAAAATCAATCTCTAACACTGAGAAAGAAGAAAACAGGAAGTCAACCATATCCTTTGAATCATACTTCCACGGGATAGGCAAACACAGCCACGGTAGGAAGGCAGGACCTCCCTGTCTCCCCACTGTAAACTACGTAAGCAGTGGAGACTGTGGTTAACTATGTGCATTATTCTTAGTGACTACCAAATAGCAGACATTTGACAGGTGTTTACTATAACGTAAATCCTACTTGGAGAATCAGGAGACTCTTGTACCAAGACCACTCCATTTTAACTCAAAGAAATACTGGGGTGACCTTTTTTGAAAATTGCTTAGGTTCACTTGTTCTTGGTGGTGGGAGGCACACAACCCACGGCTAAGCAGACATACAGCGGCTACAGTTTAGTTTGTAAACAGCATCTAGAGAAATGGGATCACCGGATAAAGAAGGACACTAACTCCCACAGCAGGACGGGGGCAGGGGTGAGCAGAAAAGGGACATGTGAAGAGAGGCCTAGAGGAAGAGTAGAGAGGGACTCTCATCACAGACAGGGCAAAGGATAATCTAGGCAGAGAGGAGGACATGGTGACATCAAGACATGTGACACCTGGAGACCATCAGGGAGTCTGCAGTAGCTGGACGGTTGTGCTGGGATAAGAGATAAGACCTAAGCCTTGTTGGGGGTAACCAGGCGGCAATAAACTTTCGAGCAATTCTGAAGGGCTTAAGGGTACTCACGTACCCTTAAGAAAGGGAGTTCTGTGGTTTAGAAAGGATACCAACCCTGACAGCCATGGATAACATAATGGGAAAGAAAGTCTGGAGCAAAGAGCCACTAAGGGACTCAAATGCTGCTCAGTGGGTAGAACCTGACATGCATGAAGCTCAGGGTTTAATCCACAGCACTGCATAAAACAAGTGTGGCGGCGCATGCCAACAACCCTACACTCAGGAGATAGACAGGAGGATAAGGAGTTCAAGGTTAACCTAAGCTCCTAGCAGGTTTGAGGTGAGCCTGCCCTAAACCCTCTCTCAAAAGGAAGAACCAGGGCTGGAGAGATGGCTCAGCGGTTAAGAGCATTGCCCGCTCTTCCAAAGGTCCTGAGTTCAATTCCTAGCAACCACACGGTGGCTCACAACCATCTGAAATGAGATCTGATGCCTTCTTCTGGCCTGCAGGCAGACACACAGACAGAATATTGTATACATAATAAATAAATATTAAAAAAAGATAAAGAAAAAAAAGGAAGAACCACTAAGGAGGCCCTGGCAGTGAGTGATGCAAACCTGCTGTTCCTCAGAGGAACTGAACACGGAAGAACTGAGTCCATGTGAAAGACTTCCAGGACTGGGTTCTATCAGGATCTGGTTGCTGAGATGTCCAGGAAAGGAGCCTCATGGGAAATATCTCACTTCTGAGGACCTCAGTGCCTCAGGCCCATCCTCGACAGTCGCTTCAACCATTCCTTGTGCTTCCAAGATCTAGAATCTAAGCCTAAGGAATCTGATTATACAGATAACAGTGGCCACCAGTGATTATAAATTTTGGGCTAGATAGAATATTAAAAACTAACTGAGCAGGAGAGGAGGGAGGGGAGATTGGTTGGTATGTAAAGTAAATGAGAAAATGTTATTTAAATAAAAAAAATTAAAAATGCAAAAAATAAAAGAACTGAGCATACCGCTGTATCATGTCTCTCCTGAAACCTGTTTTCTGTTCTCTTTTGATTCATTCCTCACATTTGAACTTAAACATCCATTTCACAGAGAAACTTCTAACCTCAAGACCAAATGAGGGCAAGCTCCCACTAATCACCTTTGCAGCATACTCCATTCCACAAGACTCATCAAGAGTTATTTAATTACTCGCTCACTCTTATCCCTGTGACACAATGACAGCCACAGGGCAGAGGTTCTGCCTGCCACCACTGTGTGCGTCATGACAAATATTTAGTGGGTGACCAGCAAACAAATTTACATCTGTTTGAAAGGGGTGGAAAAGGGGTAGGCAGGGTTTTTGGGAGCAAAACCACACTCCACCAAAATAAACAAGCAGACAGACAGATAAACCAACCAACCAACAAGCCCAGGAAGACAAAGATGCATTTCTAGAGTTCAGCAAGCAAACTGAATGGCTGTTCTTCCTTATGTGGCCTGCCCTGTCACACTCCACTGCTCATCTGGAAGCTGATGAGGCTCAAATTTTCGCTCTTACTTAATTGTAATTCTTCTCATTTTCTCCTCTACTTGTAGTTTACAAAGCAGCTGTCAATCTGTGCAAAGGCAACTCACAGGAAAAGCCAGGTGAATGATCTTTACGTACACAAGAAGCAGAGTCTGTCTTGACCCTCAAAGTTCCATAAGGCTAACATAACCCCTTGGGGATGCAGCGCAGTTCCCTGGCAAAGTCCATTCTTAGTATTTGTATAGTCCTGGGTTTAGTCCCTGATACCATGAAATAAAGAAAAGAGGAGAAAGCTATTGTGTCTTGGGGTACGGAGGGTGCCCCTGAAGAACAAATGACACGGCAGAAGCTAGCAATTGACACCCATCCCAATATCCTTCTAGCACCTTGTCTCTTAGTATCAGGTCTAGAAAGCTAAAAAACTACAAATCCCAGGATTCCTTATGGCAAAGGTTCTGGATGTGAATTAAGGGACACACAAGATTGGCAAAGCCTAGAAATGGAGACCATCTTCTGGCTGCCTCTCCTGGCAGGTATGGCTGTCTGCAGCAGCATACCAGTGTCCAGTCAATAGCCCTACAGCTGTGCAAATGAATGTTCCCTAGTGAAGTGGCTGCCTAGTCTCCAGGCTGCAAACACAACGGGATACCCCGGAAGCTGCCATCTCCAACAGCAGCTCCAGATGCTAAATTTCATCAGTGAGAACAGTGCCAATTTGCTTGCTGGGTCAGCTCTGCAGTGCCCAGAATGTTCCCCTTAAGAGCGGCTTCTCCAAGCCCTCCCAAGAATTCTGTAAGCACCCAATTTCCTGTGCTGAATCTATTTCTTGCTTAAAATAGCTTCTGTTTCTGAGTCCTAAAAATGAATCCTGACTAATTACTAACTTTTGCCTGATGTCATTCACATGAATGAGAAAACATGCCAACATTCAAGAGAGATTAGAAACCCTTTTGAAAGATACATGTCTACTTGGTCTTTGGCAGCAAGGAATATTCTTTTCATTTTTTTTCTACCAGTCCTTACTCTAGAGAAAAGCTCCATGCCTCTTCAATGAATTGTATTGATCGCCTTATTTCTTCAGCCAAGTCTTTGAACTAATGAACTATACTATTTCTCTTATGCACACCCTGTCTCTGGGCTCTGAAGCATACTTGTCAACACACAGTAGGTGCTCAACCTTTACCGGAGGGTGCAAAAGATGGGACTCTGGTCTCGGGTGCTGAAAGGACAGCTCCTCCAGCAGCAGTGCAGACAAAGGCTGGACGGGAAAGCAGTGACCTCTCTCGGGGTAGAAGCTAAGACCTCAGCTTTTCCCTACTAAGTCAAGAGACATAAGGAAGCCAGCCTGTAAGAAAAGTAGAGAAGATAGTTTCCTAACAGTCAAAGGACTTTCTTCTTTCCCTGCAGAGAAGTCCCCTCCAATGGGCTTCCAGGGACTAAACCTTCAGCTGCAGAGTTTGCGGGCTCTCCTTTCCTTCTCTGCTCCAGTCAAGACCTGGTTTTAAGCAAGAATCAGGTCAACTTGCATTCAGCACACTTTTTTTTTTTTAAATTTTCTGTGGGAGGCTATTTCTAGGAATATTAACAGAACCTTATTTCATGTTGGAGTCAGGATGTTATTTCCTCTAAATTGTATTCTTGGAGACTGACTGAACCAGTCAAACTACCTCGTGGACTTGGTGGGGGGGGACGACGAGGGAATAGTATACTTTGTTAATTTTCAATTCTTCTATACAGAGCCAGGTGTGTAATACGTAGCTGTAATCCCAGCACTCAGGAAGTTGATGCAGGAGGATCATAAGTTCAAGGGTAGTTTGGGCTACATAGTGAGATCCTGTTTCAAAAAGAAAAGTTAAAAAAATAAATAATTAAAAAAATATACTAGGGCAGGGAACAGAAATGTGAGGTTTGCTAGGACTTATAGCCGCCAGTCTAGTTGAAAATGCTCCAGGTTCAGTAAGAGACAGTCTCAAGGCAGAGATCTTTAGAGGACTCCCAGCATCTTCCATTCATGGGTACAAGTGTGCATGGGTACATGTATCTGCACAAACACATGTACACATGTATACACACACATACACACACACACAAAAAAAAAACCTTAAACATATCTAAAAATCTATCCTTACAATGGTAGTGAATAGTGAATTCAGGGAAAACAACTGGCGCTTAGCAGTGCTCTCAGGGCTGTGCTGCAAACAGCCTGACACTACCGTAAAGAAACACTGCAATAGTTATGCATCTCCCAGGTGACCAACTGCAGCTTACATGTTTCACCTATTACAAAACAGAGGATGAGAGATCTCGGGGGTTATACACATTTGTCATCCATGGAGAGCCAACCCCTGGTACCTACAGTGGCAGGATAAAAGCAGAGTATAAAGTGGCTTATACTATCACTAGCATATTTTCCTTTGGTGAAAGATTAATTTCTCCTTCTGTATTGAATAAAGTTTGAAGCAAAAGTTTCACTTGAAAACAACACTGTAAAACTAAACCTGGCTCTCACTGCTTGACTAGACATAGGTATTCCATTCGCAGTCCTGAATAGATCACATGCTATAAGCCCCAGAGGGGAGGTTTAAAAGGGTAACTCTGGGGAAGAATCATCAGTGGCTTTACTATTTCAAGCCCTGGGGGACAGGTTTTGTCAATCATCTTTATTTCCTGAGTGACACTAACTCAACTGGTGGACAGAGCTCCCAGGCGAGACATTCCTATCTTTTCAAAGCACTGGCCGAAATTTCACATTTACTTTGCAGTTTACCTGGTGTGCTCAGTAGCACCTCCTTCATCCTTCCATCCCTTGACTCTTAACATAGTAGCCACCACTCACCACACACTCAAGAACCTGCTTTCGACTGGAGCTTTGTGAACTATCAAGAATACTGCAAGGTCAAGTTAGAGCACTTGCCACAACTTCCAATGCCAGTCTCCTCAAATGAATTCTTTCCCCAAGCACAGGGTCCTCCCATCTGGGTTCCAGACTTAGAAATCCACTCTATCCAAGGTACCGTCTATTCCAATAAGGTGAGTCCTGGCCACATTATAGGGAATCGTTTCTGAATGCAGCATGCTGTTGACATGTCTGACACTCAGCGGAAAGGTTCTTTTAACCCAAGTCATATTGGCTCCTGACTGCTGTGACAGCCAGGAGCACAAGCTGCTGAGGAACCTGAGTGGCTGCCTGTGAACCTCACATAACTTGTACACTCTCATGTTAGCTGTCCCTAAAAACAATGTCACAGAACTCCACCCACAAAGAGCCTCAAAACCTCAAAACCTCTTTCAACGTATGGCCAAGTTTGTCTCCAACACTAATTCCAAACACCTTTGATTGGCCTTTGTCTCACCAGTGTTACCAAATATGCCAGAAATACCTAGCAACCAGAAACATTCTAAAGTGACTTGCCATTTCTGGGCAATGTACATTTCAAAATGTATAAACAAGAAACTCAGAATGAAAGGGGGGGACAGATCTAAGGAAAAACTAGAGAGCTAAACAATTTGACAGTCAAAGGGCCAAAAGGAAAGGAGGGGAAAAAAAGGTGCAATTATATTTAAAATTCATCTTAATGCAATTGTTCCTGTAAACATAACAGAAAGGTTAACTATTGCAGGTGAAAATTTAAAACTAAGTATCAACGTTAGCCCTTTGTAGTGACATACACAAAAAAAATAAGTTGGATGCAAAGTACATAAAACAAGGAACTAACTACTAAGTGTGTAGTAAGAACGTCTTCTAATTGGAACTATGGAAACTTTCAAATACTATAAATTGCACTTGGAGAGATTCACTTCTTCTAAAATAACCAAGTATAAACAAGTGATTAAGGAATTATAATGGCAATTTAACTCCTTTGAAAAATAGCAAAGGAAATTTCGTAAGGTGCATGGAACAGGGGGTCCCTGGGAAACTGATGAAAACCAGGACACAGGGAGAAAGGCCCTGGGAAGGAACTCTGGGCCCTCCCCGCCCCCCAAGATTTAGCCAATTCCAAATACAGGCAAGGATCTTGGGTGAAAAAATTATGTGTTGTTGAACGGTATGGCTGTAAGGTACAGGAAGTTGGGCACTGTACCTGGTGATCCTGAACTCCCACGAGAGAGACATACTTTCTCTCTCTAATTATTTCTCCACTCACGGCTTTGCGCCCTCCCCACCACCCCACACACACATACACACCTTTTCTAACATATTATTTGGTGAGACTTCTCAAGGAACAACTTTGAGATACAGTACGAGAACCCAAGAAACCAACACGAGATTTCAAAGGCACCTGACTCTTGAGTTCCTTCTTACATGCTTCCGGGACTTGTGAGCCTGCCCAGGCAGGCGGTAGACACCTCCACTGCTCTCAGGACAAATACCTTTAAGAGGCGGGGACAAGCGACAGATGAGGTCCGCCAGGTCGTTGGTTGGGGGACTAAGGTTACTGGTGACATTAGTAACCACCTGCTCTCCAGAAACCCTTCCAGATCTGGAGGGGCACAAGGGCGGGGGGGGGGGGGGTTGGGGGTTTCAGGAGTTGCTACTAGAACGAGTGAGGTGAAGGTGAAGAAGTTCCAGGCAGGGCCTGCGGCTCTGGAGCTTCTCGATGGCACCAGCTAAAACCCCTGCAGCCCGCACACCCACCCGCGCTCCGGCCAATCGCTCCCCACCTCTGACCTCTCCTCGCCCATCCCAGGCCTCACCCACCCCTCCCCTCCCCACCGGGCTTCGGTGCCGCCTTCTCCTTACGCTGAATGGGCGGGTAGCAACTGGGGTCCTCGGCGCCGGGCTGGCAGCGGCTGGAGAAGGCGCTGCGCGGAGTCACGTAGTTGCTGGGGAAGATGCCCACCCGCTGGTTCAGCTGTCCGGTCCACCAGCCCTCGTCCCCGGACACCTGCGAGTCCTTGGACAGCACCTCTACCACATCGCCTAGCCGCAGGGTCAGCTCGTCCTCGCCCGCCGCCTCGTACTCGAATACCGCCGTCCAGTAGGGCAGCGCGGCGTGGGAGCCCAGCTCGGCGGCCGCCGCCTCCTCCTCGTCCTCCTCCTCCTCGGCTCCTGTGCCCGTGGCATCCTCCCCCGGCGGGGCGGCAGCGGCGCTCGCCAGGCAGCCGAGAAGCGATCTGGAGGACTCCATAGAGCGGCCGGTCCATAGGGTGCGGGGCGGCCGCCCGCAGGAGCCGCCGCCGCCTATTGTTCATGCGGCTCGGCAGCG